AAAAAGATTGAGTCAAGACGAGACCAATTTTTACAAATCCAGCCAAGACGAGAACCAACTCAAAAACCAAAGTCCTCGTGTCAGCTCCACTCGATGGCTCGAATAAAACCGGCTGCACTAGATTAACACTACACGCATTAAGGAAAACCGAAAACGCATTATCAATTTTTATCCAGAAATGCCCCCTCGAAACTTCCTATGGAATGTAGCTAATAAGTATTTCGCCGCCGGTCTAATCGGCCTCACGATTTCCGATCGATACGCAAGCTTCATGGCGGTTCGCGGCTCATCAATGTCTCCCACTCTGAATCCTCACGGCGGAGCCGCCGCCGGATTCGTGTTCGGTAATTTTCCTATATCCCAAAAAACTTCGTTCTCTACGCTTATGCAGTTTTGAGTAAAAGAGATTGATCGTTTGTGGCTGGTAGCAGATGACTATGTATTGGTTGAGAAATTATGCCTTGCCAAGTACAAGTTCGCGCGGGGAGACGTCGTCGTTTTCCGGTAATTTTAGCCGAGGTTTCTGCCTAACTCATCGTTTTTACTTATTAATTTTCATTTTACTGAGTTACATTATTTTTTTCCCTTTCTGTTTGGCAATTTTTCCATTGGTTTCTGTATTTTGGAGCCTTTTTTGGTCGAGTGTTGATGAGCTATGGTAGGCTGAATGAGGGGAATGTTACTATGTTAGTGCTCTTGAATTATTTGGTTATGCAGAGCAACTGAATCTCCTTTAAGCTTATGTATCACATTTTCTTGGGTTTGATTATTCGAAAACAATTCTCGAGGAGCCAAATTAGCTCAAGCTTTGTTAAATTATTGATACCTCAAGCCTAAAGTTTGATTGCATTAATCCACATTTAGAGAAAGGATATTGCAATTTGCCATATAGTTGCTCTTTTTTTTGGGTCTTCACTTCATTATGAAATTATTGCATAATATGGTGCCGAGCTTATCTACTAGGCATTTATTATCAATCTCCGTAGGTTTTCTACTCGTTTCTGGTCGAGGACATATTATTCCAATTGTTCACTTTGTAATTTTGTGTGTAGTACATGAAATTAACACTGCACAATCCGACTTTTTTTTGCATTTTACATATCACGTCAGCTTGCATCCCTTCTCGTGATGAGGAAGAAGCCACACTTCTTGAATAATCCCCAGAAATATTTCTCTATCTATTTGGAATATGATTGTGAGATTAAACTGTACATGCTTGGATGGTGGATTTCTCACTGAAAGAATAATTACGGAAGCATAGTCTATATGTATCTAGTGCTATTAATTTTAAAGTGTGAGCTTGTTCGTCTTATTTTTCAGTTCCCCGATTAATTATAAGGAGAAAAATGTGAAGAGAATTGCTGCCTTGCCCGGTGACTGGATCTATCTCTCGTCACAGGACACTTTGAAGGTTCCAGAAGGGCATTGTTGGGTTTTGGGAGACAACGAAGCTTCTAGCATGGACTCAAGGTCACTTGGTCCGGTATGATGGTATTAATATTGTAATTCTATACTCACGTTTGAAGACAACTTTTAGTTACCTCAATTCTATAGTTTCGCATCGTAGTATATCCGATTGGCTGCTTTTACAAAATTCTGACACCCAGTTTGATTGTTGCTTCATTTTTTGTCGAGCAGAAGTCGATGATGAGCCACCTCAAATTGGTTAATCAATGTACCATGTTTGTTATAGTTGAAATAATCCACAAGAGTTTCGAAACGACAAAACCTCCCTTTATTATCATGGGGATATTGTATTACATTGGCCTCTTGAAACTGACAATGAAACAAACATCTAGGTTTTTCCTTATGATTTTACTAGGAAATACCCCAAATTTCAGGCCTTTGGGGATGGTGGCTTTTGGTAATCTCAAATTCCAGTTAAAAGGATTTTGTATTGGCCATTCTTTGGAACCACTATTGCCTAATCTATACTTGCTCCAAGATGTGTAACTGTTTTAGATCATCTGCATCAGTCGACGTTTTTATGTAAATATGCTAAAAATGCGTGTCAAATTTCTCTGAGCTATAAGCTTTAATTGCCTAACAAATGCAATACCATTTAAATGGATTTTGAGAACAATGCTCCTTCACTTTGATTGTTCCGTGCGGTGAGAAGATGGTTTTATTCAATGTTGCATGATATTTGTTGACTTGCCGTGTTTCTTATTCATCTATTATAGCTATCTTAATTCAGATTCCTATTGGCCTGATATGCGGACAAGCCACCCATGTTGTGTGGCCGCCTCAAAGGATTGGTGGGGTGAATAGTAAAATTCAGCATATTGCCTGAAATGCAAGTACATTAAATTCTAAATGCTGCAGTTGGGCAACTATGGCTTACCTTATTGAAATTTTACATCTTTTATCAGTTGGTTTATTTGTTGTTATTCATGGCCGCCGAAAAAAATCCCCTCAATATAAAAGGCAAAGGATTATCGATGGTTGATTCTAATTAGTATGTGTTCCCTAACTCTGAGTTCGAGTGTTATAGTGTTTATAGATGTAAATTGCCAAAATCTATGTATTCCTGAAATATTAATATAAATTATTGCAGGTAAATGTATTCGTTATTTATTCTGTTTATAGCAATAAATTGCCAAAGCCTGTCTATCTTTTTGAAATACTATAAAGTATTGCGAGTAGATGTATTAGTTATTTCATATTTGATCTGTTCATGGGAGCACAAATTTTTTAAATGATATAACCCTTTAATTTATAAAATAGAGATTGTTTGGGAGAAAAAAAAAAAATTTAAAAAGTATGATTGGTGATATACTACGGAAACAGCTTCCTTGTATAATTATAAGGGTAAAGTCTGCGTAAACTGACCTTCCAGACTCCAACCTGTTGGGAATATACTGAGTATGTTGTACCTGTTGTGAATATACTGAGTATGTTGTTGTTGTTGTTGTTGTATGATTGGTGATATACATACGTGATGATTATAGGTAATGTGTGGATATATAATAACATAATGAGTGATAGTTATAAATGTGTAACCAAGTCAATATACAAATTTTGTAATAAATCAGTATTAAAATTGATTTTTCTTTTATTTTGTATTATTAAATTTGATCGGATAAACCGAAAGTGAAACATGTAATATTTTTGAAAAAATTCTCCAATCAAATATTCATTCGTTATTTCATAGTGATCCAACCTAAGAGCATTTCCAACTTAGACTTGAAACAATTCATCCATGTAATCTAGTTAGAAACTATAAAGATAGTGCAAATAGTTCTTATTTTAATGCATATCGTCACAAATTCTTTTATGATGATGTTAAAAAAAAACTAACGCCACTTTGTAATTTCTTAAAAGTATATTAGGCGGTGCGACTCACCAAATTGGGATTATCTACTCACCATACTGGAATTATATTTTCAAATGTTCTACAAATCCAACGAATGCATTAGAGACGTTAATTTGAATGGATTAACATTTTAGTCATTTATTCACATTTTTTAAAATTTATATTTCATTAAATTATAGAGATTAGAGATACTATAAACTCTTGCTTCATGTCATAAAATCAGCAATCTTTATATAGCAACTTTTTTTAAAAGTCATTACCAATCCAACCTAAGCTTTAAAATGGATGCAATTGTTTTGTTTTAATCTTGATTGTTGAGCATAAACATGAGATATTCTCGTATAAAAATAATAGAAAATAGAAAGAGATAGAAAAAAAGCCGAAAAATCATCTATGTATTTATTTATACGAGTTGTACATGCAGTATTAAAATGTAAACGTCAACAAAAAATTATGTATATCATTGTTGATTTTTTTTAAAATATGACATCCAATGGTGAATATTCTTTTACATTTTCATCTTAGAAATATTTTTATTTAGTTCTCTCCTATTTAATAACACAGAAAATACAAAATGAAACTTTTAAATAATACAACTCCACTATTTTCTCTCTCCTCGCACTCGTATATATAGTGCGAATCACACACGTCCCAATTGGTGTGACTGATGGTTTTGCTCTCTTTTCCCCCTACGGTGAGTTCATCTTCGTCTTCCTGTGTTATTCTCTGCAATTTCCTGATTGCACATCGATTCATATCATTATCAATTTCCGCTCTGCATTTTGTATTTACTTCTGTTTGTTGATTTTTATTTCTTCTGTTTCTGTAGCTTATTTAACTATGAATGTTGCTTTTTTCCGATTTTCGTTTTATTTTTTTTATTTTTTTATATTTTGAGATCTAAATTTGCTCCGGTTTTTGCATTTAGGTGAATGAAGAATTGAGGTGTGTGATTTTTGGAACGCGATAACAACTGGCGGATTCAGTGAAGTGTGTCATGGGAAGGCTGTTTTTGATCTATTTGGAAGGGGACAAGTACTCCTGCAAGCACTGTCAATCGCATCTCGCTCTAGCTGATGATATTGTTTCGAAGGTTTCGTATTTATTTTTTTTTATTCTTTTTTGGTTTGACCTTTGAGTTTTTCTGAATTCTGATATTGATTGTTTGATGTCTATTTTGATATTCAAAATTTTGATTGTATCTGAATGTTCTGGTTTTAGTGGTTGTAAATTGACAGATGAGCTTGTTTTTGATTTGGTGAAACTTTGGTTACTCTGACTTGTTAAGTCTTGAGATATTTGAACAGTTTTTTGCCTGTCATTTTGATATTGGTTGACGTAGTTGTGAGGTTTGTTTCATGGTGACAGGAGTTTCCGTGCTTCTTCGTTTTCAAAATATAATTGGTGAAGTGTATTTGTTGATAATTTGTGTCTGTCGTAAAGGAGAAAGGCTGTCAAATTGTAAACCGTTTGTTTAGTTGAGATTTTAAGGGGTTGAGTTCATCGAAATACAGAGTGATGATCTGTTTGCTTCAATTTTTCGTGAAGGTAGGATAGTGTTCTCGTTTTGTTGAGCTGGTCAGGTGCTTTGTGAGTTGATGTTTATAATCAGATTTCAATATTCAGTTTGAGGAGTATTGACTGATGTTAAGTTATTGCTTGATAGGGTGCTCTTCATTTTGCCAACAATTCCATTATCAATTGTTTTTCCTCAATAGGAGTAGTAAAGGGTTTGAATGAAATCATCTACAAAGAAGCGACGTGCAAATATTTTGCATAATACACATCACGCTTTCTTTCGAAGTTTGGCACTTCTGCGTTCATGCATGCTACCAGAAAATGCTTGCGCATGCTATTGACAGCCATTTTAGTGGGTTTATTTTAGCCGCAAAACCATTAGTTTATATATACTGCATTAGCTTTCTAATACTCTGGCAGACATAATGAAACTTGTAGATTTAGATTTATCATACTAGGAGATTGCTAAATTTATGGTTCTACTTTATGAGAAATGTTACATTTGGTTGCTTCATTCATTTATGAAGGCCTAAAGCTAACAATATTATCTAATTGCTCTGTACTAAAGCATTGCTCTCAAGGAAGACTCAGAGACTTAGAGCTTGCTTAAGTTCGGTGTCCTTCTTTTTCACTTGTTTACTTAGCATCTCCACTACATTGTCAGCTACTTGTAATTTGAGTTGATATCTACCTCACTTTTGGCAATTCAATACTGCATTAAGGCAATTTGTTAGTTATATGCCATTCAATCCCACAAACTATGATGCTATTTTCACTTGTACATGCACGGTTTTGTTCACACAGATCTTGACACAATAACTTTACCTGTTTCCAGTCCTTCCATTGCAGGCATGGGAAAGCTTATCTCATTGATAAAGTGTAAGTTTATTTATTTATCTACTTAGTAACATGTATGCTAGCTTAAATCTCAACATCTTTGAGTTTTGTTCATAACTTTACTAAAACAATGTGTTTCTTCCTTTTGAGCTCCTTGTGATGCCCTTGCTTACGGGTATAGGCCATTAATGTTTCATTTTGCTTAAGATTTTTGTCAGTTGCTGGGAATGAAGAAAAAAAAGTAATATGATTGCTGCTGACAATATGATGTAGGGAAGGCGTACGAGTGGGAAAGATACACGAGTAAACGAGATACTCTCTCGTAAAACACGCAAGACTCACAATCTCTAATCTTATTTCATATTCAAAATCAACTGATCAAAATAAACTAGAGGAAGTCCTTTATATAAGGCTCCTAACCCTAAACCTTAACTTGTCCAACAAGACAAGAACTCTTATTAAATATTAAAAGATAATATTAAATTACTAACTTACTCTCTAAGACACCTATTAAATAATAATAATAATAATAATAATAATAATAATAATACTCTACACCATTCTCCCCCGGTTCGGAAGGCTTCGCCCTCGAAGCCGACGCGCTCCCGTGGCTGGTGTGGAGGCGAACTCATGGTATTAATCCCCAACGTTTTCCCCTGTCGAACACGAAGGTTGAATATTGCACCTTCATGGTATCACCCCCTTGAAATTCATGGAAAGGCATATATGCAGTAGCCACACACAGAATTTTGAAGTCACTGTGGGGACCAAAAAACAGCATACAAGGCCGTAACAAATTCCCGTGAGAGAAAAGCTCAGGCCTGCGCAACAGAAGAACTACTAATTCTTCCAACAGCTGAATTTCGATATTCGGAACATGGTGAAATTCCTCTGCCCTCGGAGGCTCCTCATCGAAAATCGGCGGACTGTCATAGAGACCGTCCACTTCGCCAGTAAGACACTGCTCCACCTCCTCGGGTCCTTCATCAAACACCGGCGGACCATCGTACAATGGCCCGTCAACTTGCTCTTCGTCAAATTCGAAGATGTCAACGCGAAACGGGCCCTCCCATTGACCATATTCGCGATCAAATCCCCAATCGTGTCTGGCATGATATCCGCTGGCGAAGGCAGCCTCCTCGCGCCTGCCTCTATCGTCGCGTTGATCGTTGCCATCCACGAAGACCGAGCCCCGTCGCCGCATGTCACGGCCGCCGTATGCAATGAAGGGGTCAGTCTCGACGTGCGGGGGTGGAAAATCGTCGAAGGGATTCACCTCCAAGATTGTCTCCTCGCTGTCTTCGTCGCCGGACGGTGGTTGTGGAGATCTCCGGCGGGGCGCCCCGCTTGGACCACGGCCTCCACTTCCTCCGCGAAATCCCCCGCGCACGCCCCGGTTGCCGGCGTCACGGTACGTTTGCTTGTCCCGAACCATGGTACGAATAGTTAGACGTATATCCCCGATCTCCGCGGACAGATCTGCAATCTCACGACCCATCGTCTCGAGCTGGCGGACAAACCACTCGATCCGGCGGCTCAGGTTGTAGATGGCGGCGACACGCCTGTCGTTTGCAGCATCTTGTCGTCGCGACAGCATCGTGAATCGTGCTGACTTCTGATACCAACTGATGTAGGGAAGCGTACGAGTGGGAAAGATACACGAGTAAACGAGATACTCTCTCGTAAAACACGCAAGACTCACAATCTCTAATCTTATTTCATATTCAAAATCAACTGATCAAAATAAACTAGAGGAAGTCCTTTATATAAGGCTCCTAACCCTAAACCTTAACTTGTCCAACAAGACAAGAACTCTTATTAAATATTAAAAGATAATATTAAATTACTAACTTACTCTCTAAGACACCTATTAAATAATAATAATAATAATAATAATAATAATAATAATAATAATAATAATAATAATAATAATAATAATACTCTACACCACAATATTTCTCCAAATTTTTTATATTGGATAATTAATCAACTTTAGATGTTTATGTAACCTCATGCTCACAGAAATAATGCCTGGTGATATAATAATGATTATTACCCTGATAACATGGTACTTGCTGACAGTGTGAATGTCACTAATGGAGCTAAAGAAGAGCGAATGATGATGACTGGAATGCACACCGTGGTTGACATATTCTGTGTGGGCTGTGGCTCGATTGTCGGATGGAAATATGTGAGACCCTTGACTGCTTGCACTTTTTTCTGATAATTTCACGTACTACCCCTGAAGACTGACGCTTAGCCTAATTACAGAAAACTTCAACTATATTCCAAAAATCCCAAATGCCCAATACGTTGTTATAAAATATAACTCGGTGATATAATTGCAAGTACAAAATGAACCTAATATCGGGGACTTGATTCACAATTAGTCTGAAACTTGGGGTTCGTTTGTAGCTATTCATTATTTTGTTCCTATTCTTGTTTCCATTCCAACTGCTCAAAATTTCGCCTTTGCGCCTTTGTCAATTATATCAGGTAGCTGCTCATGAGAAGACCCAAAAATACAAAGTTGGAAAATATATCTTAGAGAGGTAAAGAAATTTTGGATGTGCCTTGGCAATGTTATGCAACACATATAAACCTTCAACCATTTTCTTTATTTATTTATGTTCATTTTCCTGTTTTTTTTTCCCTCTTGATGTGTGTGTGTGGATACTCAGGTTTAAAGTGTTGGGTCCAGATGGAAGCAGCTACTCAATAAGTCAAGAGGGTCAAATGACTGGCAGTGATACCGAAGATGGTTTCTGACTAATCTCTCGAGTCCGTACAACCACAACTATTTTGAAATGTACATCCCTCACTCTTTACACGTGCCTGCTAAATTTATATTTTTCACAATTAGCAGTCCATGTTATGAAGATAACTCGACCGCATGGTTCTTTTTTTCTTTTCCTTTTTTGGTAAGTTTATAGTTTAGAACTCGAATAGAACAAACATGACCCGTTTCTTTTAGCATGTTGGACTTTAGTTCCATTTTAGTCACGTAACGTAACTCTTCTCCAGCTCCAGCCACTCAAATTTACGCATGATTTTGAAGTCAACGCACATATACTGCACTAGTTTACTTTTACAGAGTGGTGATTTTGAACTTAGTTAAAATCAGTATGACTAAGAGAATTGAAATTTGAAAGGCCATACAGTTTTCAAACTAGTAATATTTGAAAATTATATTATATTTTGTCTTGCTGCTAGTGTAGAGACATCATAACATCATATACCTCTTTTTTGCTATATTTAATGCATGTATTATATATGATGGGACAAATTTACATGTCTAATATTGTTTTACATATTAGTCAAATCAATTGTGCATTACAAAACTTATTTTATGAAAATTAGCCTTTTGTAATCATATTTATATAATAAAATCAGTACGTGAACCTACGCAGGAGTTGTAGTAAACTAGTAATCACATGAAAGGTGGTCAAGAGCAATCTCGACTAAAGAGTAAAGAGTTGACTGTAAAGTGCCAACGTTCTAACTTCTTGGATTCACGAGGCTCACAATATATGCCCAAGTGATTTTGTATATTATCACGACTCGTGAGGCCCACAATGTGGGCCCAAATGTCCATTCAGTTATATAGCCCTCACATGACATGAGATCTTTTTCCCTAAACCTCCATGAATACGACAGCCCACGATTCCCTACTTTTTAAATCTTAAATGAGTACCTCATTATTTTTTAATTTTTTTTTAAATAATACATCAAAATTCTTAAAATCTAAAAAGTGTTAAGTAAATTCCTAGAGTCTAATTCTCTTTCTTTGAACATTATTATTATTTATGCATTTTATGTTTATTATATATATATGTACGTTCCAAATTATGAAATGTGCCTACTGCGCTTGATGTGATTCATATGTTAAATTCAAACGCGCAATAGTCACTTTTAACTAATTCTGACAATGGATTTAATGTTTTTTGTTTTGTTCTCTCTTTTTTTTCTAGGAGCTTTTGTTTTGTGACGTTGAGCTTAAATAGTGGCTTTTTTTCTAGGAGCTTTTGTTTTGTGACGTTGAGCTTAAATAGTGGCTTCTAGCGCTAGACGTCTGGATTGTTTTGTGTGACTAGTAAACCAACGTCATTATATTTAATCTTCGGCAAATCATTATATATACTTACATTTTTTTTTTTGGTTCAATATATACTTATATACTTACATTTTCATTGGTATAAAAGGCCTACAATGACTATAAATAGTTAAATTCTTAAAAGAATCAACGCTTAAAGTCTCGCATTTTATGGATTTAGACCGTAAAAAATTAAATATGGACCAAAGCTCCCAAAGAGTCTACACACTGGACAAGACTGACAACACATGTTTGAAAAAACATTTTAACGTCTCAAATATTGTGCAAAAGGAAAAGTCTAAAATTTAACTAGTGATCTATTTGACTTATTTTTTTAGTTTCTCATTGTGCATTTTTTTATCATTTAATTGCATTGGAGAATTCTGAACAAAATAATGATTTATTGTTATGTGGCAATGAACATTCCTCATATAAAACCCTATACATTTCACATGTTCTTGCATATATGTCAGATTCAGAATAGTAAATTTATTTATCTGATAGAGTAAATTTATTTGTTTGAGAGTCTGCCAGAAAATATCCGACCTAATCGCAGCTCTAAATGATCATTTTATAAAAAATTTCAATTTTGCTCCCCATTACTAACATATGATACTTCATTACCACAATCAATCATGAGAATTGGAGAGTTAGAGCCTATCATTTACTATAAACCATGAATGCAAAGTCATGATTCAAATTCAAACATTAAATTCAAAAGAGTACAATGATGGGTTTCTAGTTCTAGCCTATTGTAGTAGTAACCAAACAATTGTGGAGAGAAGAGAAAAAAGCTAACTTCATACTTTATACTGCGTTACTATATTTAATGATGTAGACAATCATGTTATATTCAAACATTATATTATGAAATACAACATAAATAAAAGTATGACGTTCATATTATAAGTATACATTTTTTAATAACAAAAATGTTACTCCCTAACGATGAGGCAAGCTAAAAGTACCATATGTGTAAGCCAATGTTTTTCTTTTATCTCGTTTTCATTTCTATTTATGGGAAATTCGTTTTTATTTACGAGTAGTGTCCCAACTGAAATTTTAGGGTGTGCTTGTATATGAATAAATTAAATTTACATTCAATTTATAATTAAAATCTAACTGAACTTTACTCGATCTCCCTATTCTCAACATTATCAATATAATTAAATAATATCAATCATTTTTACACATCACATCAACTTTAATTCACTATTCATCCACTTACATAATATTGACTAACAATCACTTCATATCATTTCTCCTATACTTTTATATCAAATAAACTTTAATATTTTATTTTAAATATTATTTTAATATAAATTAAAATTTCACTAACAACTAACTATATCGCATATTTTAAAATTAATCCTGATTATTAAAAAAAAGACTGAGCTGATATATTTATAATTTTATATACAAACACACCTTAGCCTGTCACACCAGTGCAATTGTGCAAGTGTGAGTTGATTGAAAGCTGAAACTGGACCCTAAAGATAAGAATTTCCCTATTTATGACTCTAAACTTCCACCACCAACCAATCAAATTACAAATTTGAATGCTGTAACAAAACCCAAGCAAGCAGAACAGGTCACCTGTTAAAAATCAAACCTGGCAGTTTTCTCGTTTCCCACAGGAGCTGCTTTTTGTTAACATTAAAAAAATTAAAGACTACAACACAACAGATCACTGATTTCAAATCCTCATTTG